CACTGTCGTTTTTTTTTCGGGTCGAAATTTTGAATTTCGATATCTCAGCTCTGGAAGGGTCTAGAACCTCCATTTTTGCACTCAGGTCAAAGTCTTGTGGCCCTCTATCAGAATCCAGAGTTTTGAGAAGATTGGAGAAACTTGATTTTTCGCCCGAAAACGAAAAAAAACGTAAGGGGTAACACTGTCGTTTTTTTTTTCGGGTCGAAATTTTGAGTTTCGATATCTCAGCTCTGGAAGGCTCTAGAACCTCCATTTTTGCACTCAGGTCAAAGTCTTGTGGCCCTCTATCAGAATCCAGAGTTTTGAGAAGATTGGAGAAACTTGATTTTTCGCCCGAAAACGAAAAAAAACGTAAGGGGTAACACTGTCGTTTTTTTTTTCGGGTCGAAATTTTGAATTTCGATATCTCAGCTCTGGAAGGGTCTAGAACCTCCATTTTTGCACTCAGGTCAAAGTCTTGTGGCCCTCTATCAGAATCCAGAGTTTTGAGAAGATTGGAGAAACTTGATTTTTCGCCCGAAAACGAAAAAAACGTAAGGGGTAACACTGTCGTTTTTTTTTCGGGTCGAAATTTTGAGTTTCGATATCTCAGCTCTGGAAGGGTCTAGAGCCTCCATTTTTGCGCTCAGGTCAAAGTCTCGCGGCCCTCTATCATAATCCAGAGTTTTGAGAAGATTGGAGAAACTTGATTTTTCGCCCGAAAACGAAAAAAAAACGTAAGGGGTAACACTGTCATTTTTTTTTTTCGGGTTGAAATTTTGAGTTTCGATATCTCAGCTCTGGAAGGGTCTAGAGCAGAGGTCTCAAACTCGCGGCCCGCGGGCCGCAATGATATTTTGTGGCCCCCTACTTGATATTAAAATGTAATGTTAGTGCGGCCCGCCGTTGCGTTTGCCGCGTTTTTTAAAAATTATTATTTTTATCCCTTATGGGCTACCATATATAGTCTCGTGACAGCTTACGGAGGGTTTGTTGTCAGTTGTCATAGACAACCACGAAGTACAAATATACTGCGCCTGGAAAAAATGAGCGCGTCGCTTCAATTATGAGCGCGCTGGGTGCTTGATGCGCGCCTACATCTGAAACGTACTTGAGCGTGCAAAATATGTGAGCGCGATACGTGAACAGGCGAGCTACCACCACCAAATCAGGCCACAGCTACTGATAGCTCGCGAGCGACGTGTTGGATACCCCTGCTCTAAAACAATGTGAGAATAATCATTTTGATCTTGTAATATGTGTTGTGTCTGAACGCGTTCAATGAACTCATTCTTATATTTTGGGCGAACGTGAACTGAACGTAGCCTACTGTATTACTGCCTGATGAACGTTAGTGAACTCGTTCATTCAAGTGTCTGTGAACGGAGGAGCGAGGAGGCGTCGTAAGATCATTTAAAAGGGTTTTATGAGGTCGGTGAGGATGGGAAAATCTTACATGTCTGTGCAAACTTTGCCCATCGATAAAATGATTGTTATCTGTGGTTGTATATTCTGTGGCAATAATAATAACAGCCTAATAATAAAAAAGAAGCTCGCAGCAACATATGGAAAGAAAAAACTAACTAGTTCATTTTTGAAATATGAACTGAACTAGTTCATTTTAAAATTTGTGAACTGAACTTTGAACTAGTTCATGTAATGAACTTGGTCCAACAGGTTGATAAGAAGGTTTGCTTTGATATGTGCAAAGTCAGTAATTTGCCTGTGACACTATACATGTGTAGAAATAATTATTTGTATTTCAAAAGCAGTAATTGTTTTTCTAAGTATGGATAATTATAAGTAAGGAAATGTGCCTATCGGGAAAAAAAACATTCAATAAAATAGTGTTGTATAAAGAAAATAAAAAGCAAATATGACTATCATCACAAAGATGTTGCGTATAAGAAAAAGACAGAAAGTTAAAATTAACTTCAACTGTCAGAAGGACACCTCATGAAGAACCAATCGTGTACAGAAAGGAATGTTCAAATTCAGAGGAACAGTTCAGAAGAAACGTTAACGTCAGTTGTTCCATTTTTGGAATACTTAAATACATTTTTTTTTTTGGAATACTTGATGCGGCCCGGCCAGACCTAGACTCTATCTCCAGCGGCCCCCAGTTAATTTGAGTTTGAGACCCCTGGTCTAGAGCCTCCATTGTTGCACTCAGGTCTAAGTCTCATGGCCCTCTATCAGAATCCAGAGTTTTGAGAAGATTGGAGAAACTTAATTTTTCGCCCGAAAAACGAAAAAAAAAACCGAAAGGGGTAACACTGTCGTTTTTTTTTTCGGGTCGAAATTTTGAATTTCGATATCTCAGCTCTGGAAGGGTCTATAGCCTCCATTTTTGCACTCAGGTCAAAGTCTTGTGGCCCTCTATCAGAATCCAGAGTTTTGAGAAGATTGGAGAAACTTGATTTTTCGCCCAAAAATGAAAAAAAACGTAAGGGGTAACACTGTCGTTTTTTTTTTCGGGTCGAATTTTTCAGTTTCGATATCTCAGCTCTGGAAGGGGCTAGAGCCTCCATTTTTGCACTCAGGTCTAAGTCTCGCAGCCCTCTATCATAATCCAGAGTTTTGGGAAGATTGGAGAAACTTAATTTTTCGCCCGAAAAAAAAAAACGTAAGGGGTACCACTGTCGTTTTTTTTTTGGGCCGAATTTTTCAGTTTCGATATCTCAGCTCTGGAAGGGGCTAGAGCCTCCATTTTTGCACTCAGGTCTAAGTCTCATGGCCTCTATCAGAATCCAGAGTTTTGGGAAGATTGGAGAAACTTAATTTTTCGCCCGAAAATGAAAAAAAAAAACGAAAGGGGTAACACTGTCGTTTTTTTTTTCGGGTCGAAATTTTGAATTTCGATATCTCAGCTCTGGAAGGGTCTAGAGCCTCCATTTTTGCACTCAGGTCTAAATCTCATGGCCCTCTATCAGAATCCAAAGTGTTGAGAAGATTGGAGAAACGTATTTTTTCGCACCGAAAAAAAAAAAGACAGGGGTACCACTGTCGTTTTTTTGTTTTGAGTCGAAATTTTGAGTTTCTCTGATCTTCTTGAAACTCTGGACTCTGTTTATTTGTAGTGTACTGATAATAGTTTCATATAATTAGTTTGTTAATTAAACTAATAATAATAAATAATTGATTTCCCTATAAAATAATACTACAAACACTTAAAAATAAACAGATTAGTGCCCTGTTTTGAGGACAAGAAATGAAAACCAATGCGGTATGATGAATGTCCAAAAGATGGAACTCTGTAACGGCCACCTAGTGTTCAGTAGTGTTCATGACATGTTGATATGCCTTTAAGATGACTTCTTCTATGGCGTTCGTTATTGTATGCGTAATGTTGTCATGTGAGCGCGCACGCTCAGTGAGAGTGAGAATGCTCGCGCAAAGAGGAAGATGACCGATCTATCGCGGGTTTGTTTTATTATAATGCGTTTACTTCCACTTTGATTTGTAGCGTTTTACAGAGTGTTATCTTTAACCTGTTAACATCCGCTCTTTCGACATGTATGTGAAGAGTGTGCTTAACTGAAAGAAAGCAACTATAAAAGGACTCGTGGAACTACCAGTTCATTTGCACTGTCTTTCCTATTCTTCTTCTGGGACCTCAAACTCTGACAGACTTTACAACACACGGACTGTTTCAAACAGGGGTTGGATACATATGTTTTGCTACACAAATATAAGTAAACACTTTGCAGACTGAATGTTGTCCTGTATGAACAAAATGATGGATGTTTATCATGACTCCACTGTTTGATCGCACCCGCGTGTCTCACACACAGGTTACGTTACCTTGTAGAAAATATTTGACCTGGCTGGCAGAACGATTGCCTTTGCCTGCATCTTTGCGGTGACATGACTAACATATTTAAGACCTATCCAATCTGAATTTAAGACAATTTAATACTTTTTAAGGCCTTATTTTTAGGAAAATTGATTTAAGACTTTTCAATACTTTTTAATGACCCGCGGCCACCCTGATCCTATACAGTGGTATTTCTCATAATGGTGTGAAGATACGTTTGTCTGCTTTAACATGACATCATCAGCAGAGTTTTACAGTACGTTCGACCAAAAACTACGTTTGTAAATTTTGATTAATCTTATGATTTTATTAGGCAAATTTCACATTCATCAGAGTAAATTTGATCATTCTAATGCCGTGTTTAAAGGTGTTTTTGGCTGATTTTATGTTGTATATTGTGTCTATTGAATGTATAGATAATAAGAAATGCTCTGACACAATTGAATTTGCTAAAGAATTGAAGATAATTGAACAGTGAAGAATTATATGATGTTTCTCTTTTTTCTTCAATATTGACTACTGGTTTGTAATTTTCTCGTAGCTATTATATTATACAAATAGTTAAACTTAGCCCCTTTATTTAAATTTTATTTTTTTATATATATATTTTCTTTCCATTTTTCTTTATTTTTTTTTTAGTTTAGTTCTTACTTACTTATGTTAAACTAACTTATGTTATTGTTTGTATGTTTGTCTAATGTCTAATAAAAAAAAGTTGAATAAAAAGTTGAAATAAAAATGTTTGAAAATGTTGAAATGAAGAAAATGTTTAATAATAAAAAAAAAATTTAAAAAAGGCCCGTTGGACCACTGAACAAATCCAGCAGTGTCCACCATAAAAACAGAGTCGCGTCTTTGATTATTACTCTCGCAAGACTTATTTTCTCAGGAAACAAGAGTTATACAATTTAGTTTAAAGAGGAATTAACATAATTAACAGCACTCCTTGTGGTCATTAAAATATTAAAACCTAGCTTGTGTTCAAAAGTGAAATATTTAATCTAAATGTGTATCAAAATGAAAACAGTTTAAAATCCTTCTGTTTCCTTCATAACTTCTCTCACTCCAGTAAATGAGAGTGGTCGTGAGGTGTAGACGACAGCATATGTACGCCGTTTTCTTCTTATAAATCCTGATATGTGCTTGGAACGCGCATTTCAATGCGTTTTTTTCTCCTGGTCATATTATCTCACAGTCGTCAAGTAAATATAAATATTCAAGGTTGTTCGCTGACCTGGTAAAACTTCCCTCCTTTCTGAACACTGGCCAGACCAATGATGGGTTTGCAGTTCTCCAGAGCCTGATGGAAGATGGCGTACGGATTACACTCCACCTCGTCTCTCTTCGCCGCGGGAGACTTGTGGTATTTCTCCACCTGTCTTCTCTTTATGTGCTCCAGCGTCTGAACGGACACAGTACATCCAAGCGGAAATTATGTCAACACTCATTTCAGGTAGTGTAAGTTAACATAATACTTTACAAGTGAATGGGATTTCAGTCAAACCTGTGTCATGATTCCTCTAGCAAGGATTTTGTTGCCATCTTGCATCATCATGTTGATGAACTTGCTGTTATGAAGAATACACACAGTCCAAAAATATGAAAGCTGGTTATTGCTGCGCCTTTTTATTCTGTGGTAACAAGCTTTTTAACTAAAGTATAGGAACTACAAAGGATTATTATTTTAATTAGAACAAAATCAGCATAACTTGAGTGAACAATCTGCATGACTTTACTTCAATTACTTGTCAGTGTGTTGTTTACACATGTCTTAAAGCTATAGTAACATTTAAAGTTGTTCGTTAAGCTCTTATAGTTCGTACCTCATCAACGGGTCGCTGAAAGCAGAGCTGGTGTCGCTCGACAAGGCTGCTTTTATCGGACTCACTGTTTTCAGTTCCTGCAGCTCTTTTTCTTCAGGACTAAGCTCTGACTCTGGAACAGCATCTTTACTGGGATCAGGATCCAGATAGTATGGATTATACCGACTCCATCTCACGAAACACACACTGAGAAAACATGCAGAATAATAGACATATCACACAGGGACAATTCAGTAGCGTTTATTTAGAAACACATGGTTGAGTTTGCCAAGAACAGCGTGACATCAACGATAAATCACACAAAGTATGTATTACAGAGAAACGTCGATGTGATTTAGACCTCATTTCGTACATTCATGGCAAAAATAAGTATATACAATTATTAAAATGTACCTCGGTGTCCAAGGTTTCAGTAAATATCTGACGGAGGCCGCCATCTTTACAGTGGTGTTATGAGTGTGTCTCAGATCAGCCTGAGCAACACAATATCTGAAATTCACCGTCAGAGAAATACAAACACTGATCTCAGATCAGCCGTACAACTCACTCTGACGCGACCGTGAAAGGACCTCAAATGAAGAATGCGACCTACAATATTGCCTGAGTAAAAGAATACAACAAAATATGTGTTTTAAAATGTAAGGTCAAGCATTTTTACCTTTATGGTACTTATATAAGCTGTTTGTTTGTGTTTGCTCGGGTGTACATAATAGTTATTTACACTAGAGACTAAACATGATTAGTTTCTTCGGCTAAGTATTTGTGCCTCCCCCTAGCGTCGATTTAATAAATCATTTAGAAAAAAATCATACACAAGGTTAAAATGTTAATGATGGATGTTTAATTCTGTCTTGTATTAAAACAACAACAACAATATATTAGCCTATATGATTACAATTACATGATTTTTTGACGAAGATATTGACGAATAGCTTTCTTGCGTGTAAAGAAAAAATACTTAAAAAAAGTGTCTGCTGTTTTAGCAAAACTTACAATCGGCTACCAAACTGTTGAAGATGCTTTATTAAACAAACGACTACAACAAAAACTGGTTAAAATGCTACAAGCTTTAGGCGGTTATGCCTATAGGGCCTAATGTATTATTTTCTTCACAAAGTAGGCTATCGTGGAAATTCTTTGCCTAACTCTTAAATAATAATTAAAGAACAAATGAAGATCTCGAAAGTCATAAGTATACGTATTTATTTCTTGCAAGAAAGGCAGTTCACACAGAGACAGAGTCTGACATGAGAAGGGCAAATGTCTTTTCTCAGTTCCATACACAAATCCATTTCAAGATATAGGCTACATTTAAAAGAAAAATTTCCATTACAAGGCCTACATTAAAATGTGATTACTTTCACTGTGCAATGCATGTATAGCCTGTAGGCCCGATTTTATTTGCCTTTTAATGATTAAATGCTTGATAAATAATTTATTGGAATATGATATAGTTTTAGGCCTATGTTTGTAAAATGCAATGTCTAAATTTGAAAGATGGATAGTCTCTGTACTCTATGGTTACTCGTAGCCTATTGCGTTCCCTGAGATGAGGGAACCAGACATTGCGTTTGCTAATGCTAATGGGGAAACGGTACCCCTCCCTCATATTGCAGGGCTGCCAGTGCCATCACATTTAAGTCTCTTTTAAGCACCAACTGTTTTCAAAATATTTTGTCAAAACTTTTGATTATTGTGTCCTTGCTGAATAAAAGTATTTATTTCTTAAAAAAAAAAAAAAAAAATATTTCTTAAAATAAAATTCTTACCGGCCCCAAACCTTTGAACGGCAGTGTATATAAAACTGAGAACACATTTCTCATACACTCAAAACCTTTTTTTTTTTTTTTTGAAAACATAAATAGCCCAAGACAAACAAGCAAGCTATAACCTTGTGACGGTTTAAGTTATTTCTAGAATATTTTAAGCATTATAGCTAGAAAAGAAAAAAAATAGTTTCACTAAATATCTAATTTAAAGACAACTTTCCCAGACCTGGAAATCACAATTGTAACATTTGGTGATATTTCCATATCCATGGGAACCTGTACAAATACATTTAAAATCAAGAAGACCGAAAAGAAAAAAAGAAATTACTCAAAAGTCAGAAAAAAAGAACTGCCTTAAACTAATATTCTGCTATCTCAGTTGTCAAATGTTAAACTAATATACATATATGAAAACTCACACTGTGCAGTACAAAAAAATAATGTATTTTTCTAATGAATAATGATCTCATTGCTTTTCAGAGATTAACATGCATAGTCTCTGAAGCACATGGAGGTTTAAGTTCTGGTAAATATTGCCCTGATGATCCTGGCCTTTCACTTCTCAACCTACAGTAAACTCTCCTCATCCTCCGGGCATTTCTTACATCACTACATCCAGCACCTGCAAACATATCAATGTCAAAGCACATTTAAATTGTTTTATATACCGTATATCATTACATTATACCCAATAATGCATATATGAGCTGATTGTGAATTGTGATTGATGTTTTTAGTTTGACACTCACCTTGATCTGTTTACAGCTTCAGTTGTGAGTAAATGTCACCGCTCTCACTGTTATTGCCTAGAAGATGCCAACAGTTCATATATGCTTACGATACACCCAACAGTGATATGAAATATGGCATGAACAACATATGGGTCAATTAAAGGTGATTGGGACCGTCCAAAATAAATGATGGGACAAAGTAAAAACAACCTATTCAGAAAATGGAAACATGACATTAACAATTTGTTTCTGATTTTGTATCAGTAGTGCATCATATTTGTGTTTCCATCAAAGGTTTGTACAATATAGTAGCTATGACAATTTTAGGACTTTATTTTGAAATCAGCTTATTTTCCTCAGTTCATGTATTTCAGGGTCAACTTCCTGTTTGATGCATGACACGCACACCTACATGTCACACCAATAAGGGCATATCCAGTTTTGATTATAGGGCTCAGAAATAAAAAAGTTTTTATTTTCACCCATTAGGTGAGAAATTAAACTGTAGTTATACTGTCCCATTCGAACTAATGTCCCAATCACCCTTAACTCACCCGTACTATATACTGTTCAATCACAGAGATGATCATTTTATTTAAAAATGAGTATGTTAAACCAAATTACCTCAAAATAAACAATTTGCATGCACTGACCTCTTTTGGATCAGGTCAGACAGAATCACTCATGATCATAAAATCAAAAGAGCGGTGACTTTTGTTTCAGTTTACCTTTGTTCTCTTTCTTTTTCTTCTTTTTCTTTGTAGATTTGAGTTCAATTTCAGCATATGTGATCTCAGTCGGCCCACTTACATCATCTACGAATAGAGAATGAAATAATACACTGGTTTAATATGCTTTGAACCCTGCAAATAGAATAATAAATAAATGAAATACTTTAATTGACATCCTTAGTTACCTGTGCTTATTTCTTCATTAATCGCTGTATCAATAGAGTCATAAACATCTGCAGTTCCTGCAATAAATTAATACATACATTTTAATGTATTAATTATGTATTAATTAATACATACATTGTTGTCATCTTGTGAATTCAATTGCACAGGGAAAAAAAAAATATTTCATGTTTACATGCACTAGACATGGTATTTAATGTGCTATTAACATTCTAAATTACAGAAAATAAATATATTTTGTTATGCAGTATTTAATAAAACAAAACCAAATGACATCAAGTTCAATATATTTATAATGTAAACATGTAGAAGATCTAGATCTAGTTGAAATATACTTTATCGTCAAAAGTTATTCCTACGTGTCTTTTTGTATATATTTATGTGTATATTAATAAGTAAAGACTGACCAGACAGTGTGTTGTATCCGGCTTCACTCTGGTTCTGCTCTGATGTCTGACTGATGTTCTGCTGTTGACTGACAGTAGAGCGAGACTCAGATCTTACACCTAGTCAAACATGAAATATTTGTGTAAATGTTTTGAGGAAAAAAACAGCAACATGTCGGCCCAGATCCAGCCCACATCTGGAAAATGTAGATTACACATGTGGCAGATGTGGGCCGGATCTGGGCCGACACTATATGTTGCTGGGTTTTAATCTCTCTCATGAGTATTACAAAGTGTTTAGTGACATGTATGCATTTATTTATTTATTTACTGATTTGAAGCATTTGAACATTAAGGCTGCATTTACACTGCAGGTCTTGATGCCCAAATCCGATTTTCTGACTATATCCGATTTTTTTGACGACCTGCTTACATCATCTTTTAAAAGTGACCCATATCCGATTTTTGCATTAACACAATACACTGCTGAAACTACCAAATGCAGACGTTCTGATGGTTCTGAACCGGGAAATTAAGCAAAACAGCACGAAATTCAATGGATGCAGATGCGAATAAAATTATCCAGTGTTTTCTTTCCACAATATTTCAATAAGTCATCAAAACATTGGTCTCGTATGGCGGAGAAAAAAAAGAGGAGAGGCTCTGGCCATGAGCACTTAAAACAATGCGTCATATCTCGTGAAATGTCTTCAAAAACGGATTTATTTCTGTAACAATCCTGCATTTTTGCCTGCACTCTTCACCCCAAACACTCAAAAGACATGAAACCTCCGCATTGCTCCACTGTGTGTATCCTTTCTTCCATCACGCGGCTCGCGCCTATAGACCATTTCACAAGATGTAAACAACACTGGTCCAGAAGCACTTCCTGTTACAGTTTTTTAACACTACATAAAAGCTGGGATAAAATACAACCAACAGAACATTTAAAACTGAATCAAAAAGTTAAACAAACATCTTTAAGATGTTTTCTTTACATTTGAAATAGAGAAAACAGTTACAAACTGAAACAGGAAGTGTTTCTGGACCAATGTTGTTTACATCTTGTGAAATGGTCTATAATCGCGCAGTGACGCATGACTCGCATTTACTGGGGAATATCCGATTTGTCTGCTTACATGGCACACGCAAATGAAAGTATCTGATTCATATCCGATTTATTACCACATATGAATGAGGCCTGAATCCGATCTGAGAAAATCGGAATCCATGCGTTTTTTTTCCTGCTTACACGTCCACAGGTCATATCCGATCTGCCACATGAGAGGAAAAAATCGGATTTGGGTCACTTGAACCATGCAGTGTAAATGAGGCCTTACATATGCAGTAACTCTGTATCAAACAACTAGTGGACAAGATGGAGGACTCACTGTTTCAATGATTTCAATATTAACTGAAATCAATATTAACAATATAAATATCTAAAAAACATTTACAACCAGCAAGCATAACAACTTTACGAGGTGGGAGACGAGCTTAGACCAGAAAACCAGCTTAGACTGATGTAAGATGTCAGAGTGTAACATACAGTAGTTATAAACAGCTAGTGTCTACCAGTTTGTCACTGAATATTAATAAGTCAGATGATGAACCTTTGTTGTTTCTGCAGCGCCAAAGCAGGACCAAGAAGACAATGATCAAAACTGCAACAGTCAGTCCTGCAATCACTCCAATTATCACAGGATTGAGACCACCAGATCCTGAGGCTGGAGAAACAGATAAGTTTTACATCTACATGTGAATTGTACAGGATTATTTTTAAAACCACTTAACTGTCACCGTCCCACAGGTGGGACGTTTGCCACTATATTTTTAAAACAATAATATCTTAGTAAATACCTTAAATAATATTGACAAACTATATATCATTTGAAAGCTTACAATCTCTAGTTTCCATATTTGGTGACTGATTTTCAAAATATATTACAGCGGAGCCATAATTTATCAATATAAAACAAGAATATTTTCATACTCATAAGGCGTGTTCAGACCTTTATTTTAAAATAGCAGTAAACATGAAAAATCATGAAAAAATGGTAGATACCTCAGTTTGTTTTCATGCCAAAAGTTCAAAAGATAGAATCCATTCAATTATTTTGGAAAAAAAGTCTGAAAAGTTTGAAATATCAAGAAAAAAATAATAAATTCACCATTTGTGACGTGGCAGCTAGCTATGACTTACATGCGTGTTCTTTGTATGTGTTTCTTAGAGGTTCAATTCATATCAAAATCTGCCAAACTTCCCATGCTACTTCTGAAAAGGATCTCTACTTCAGAAATTGTATGAAAATTGTGAAAATAATGGTTCATATCACTCAAAACACGAATGGAAATGCAGGCGCCCTTATATGGGCAGTAATGGAGTCTGATTGTGCCCTAGTGAAAAAGTTTGGTACTGCGCTCAAACAAAATCTTACTGAAAGCTCATTTTTTGAGATATCAACCTAAAATTTGAAACACAACTTGTTCAGATTTTTGGCTTTGATCTTTCTGCCATTTTAGAGTAGCCCAGGTTTTGAAAATATATATTTTATGTAAAATATGAATAATTAATATTTTCACATTGTACATTTCCATAAACTCAAACTTCTATAACTTTTTTTCTGTTTCACTTTCTTAATTTATTTCACTTCTACAAAAATCTGCCAAATGTCTTCTTTAAAACAAGACCAATCATATGTCTATATTCCAAAGCATTCTTGAATTACAACCATTTAAGTTCGAAATGTGCATTTTCATGTCTATTCAAAAAAGGGGGGGGGGGGGTGACAGTTAACAGGTTAATGGTGTTTTTTTTTTTTTTATCTTACAACTCTCACCTCTGACTGAGATCCAGCTCTTGAGCGACTCTCCTCTCGGGTGTTTGCAGTAGTAGAAACCCTGATGTGACTTTGAGACAGTCGGGATGATCATCTCTATAGTTTGACTCTGGACGAGTGATTCATCTTTATAGAAATCAGATCTGAGGTTTGATGGGGATGTACGATTATATAAACAGCGTAGAGTCAGATTATCTCCTTCAGTCACAGGATGAACAGGACTCTCCAGAATCACACCAGCTTCAGAAATAGAGGAAACATGCAATACATCAACACAATGGTAATATAATAAAAACAAGACAACTTTCCAGTTTTCCACTGCGCACTGGTTTCTGAGTGTATTTAGTGTATTGTTATAATGATCTGGCTGGTTGCTTACATTAGTATATTGTTAAATCATCCTGCTTTATGCATTAATTATAAACTGTCAGTGAAATAAATAAATCCAGAAACACAGACTCACAGTGTACAGTGATATTAACAGGATGATATTTCTCTCCAGATTTAGACTGACACCAGTAAACTCCAGTGTCTGATGTGCTGGTGGAGCTGATTGTACATGTAGATCCTGTTTGTAATCCCCTGGGAAATAATGAACAATCTTCCAGCCACCAAGTGTCTCTGTATCTTCTCACTGTCCATCCATCGGAGTTACTCTGGTCCTCACAGCTCAGAGAGAGAGAGTCGGATGTGAAGTGTTGAGTTCTGCTGGGACTGATGATCAGAGACACTGGAGGAGAAACACCTGACAAGATATCATTACAGAGACAATTAGGAAATTGCCTTTATTAAAGATGAAGATATTATTTAAACTAAAGTGTGAACTCACCAGTGACCCACAGTGGTTGTGTGTTGCTGAGCCATGTTGTATAGGCTGGTTTTCCTCTCTCTGCACTGCACATATAAACTCCTGTGTGATTTAGAGCAACAGAACTGACAGTGTATTTTCCTCCAGCTCCTCTTCTGCTGTCTGAGAGCGGATCATAGTCAAAACTCCTGCCTGTGTTAAATGAGAATATGCAGATGATCACTAAAGGAAATTATCTCTAATAATGTTTTTGATAAAACCAGTAAATGTATATGTTATCACATGGAGGACATTATAATACCTGATAAGAGAGTTACAGTGAACCAGCTGAATGTCCAGCCTGTAGAAGAGCCGTTAATCTCACAGTTCAGAGTCACTGGATCTCCTTCAGTCAACCACGACTGAGGAGAAACACTTAACACTGGCCGGGCTTTATCTGAGATACAGACATCACTCATTAATAACATGTTAAACTTGTGTGTGTGTTTATGAAGAGATGATCAAACTCACCCGATACTGTCAGTGTGACTTCATCACTCTTTCGTGAAATGCCTGATCCGTCAGTCTCCGTTATATAACAGGAGTATTTCCCTGCGACAGACTCAGTGACAGAATCGATAGTGTGTTCCTGTAGTTTACTGGAAACCATGAATGAATCTTCTTTATACCAGTAGTACATCCAGCTAGAGACTGCAACAGCATCAATGTCACATCTGAGAGTGACCATCTCTCCTCTGAACACATGTTGATCAGGTTTAATGGTCACTCTGGGTTTTGGTCTTTCTGCACAACAACAATAAACAATGAAAATAATGTGATGATTAATTTAATTAAAATAATAAAATGCGCCTTTTTTTCTCTCTGGGAACAGTTTCTTAAGTGACCAACAGATTGAATGTGTTTTCATCAAGTACAACATGTTCCTGAATAAACATCTTTATTGATCTTGAACAACATTCAAATCAACCAATCAGATTTGAGGAACAAGTTTACAGTTTATTGTATGCTCAGTTTACACAGTTCAGTGTTTCTACATCAGTGTTATTCACCTATCTTCTCTTTTTGGTATTGGAGATTAGGTTTAAAGGGTCACTTCACCCATTTGCATTTAGCTCTGTATCTTCAGAAACCCAGTCATATTCTTGAATGGTCATGGTTTATTCCCTTATTTTCCCCTGAGATGGGAGAAATAAGGATTTAAGTGTTTAACTTCCTGCTTATCATGACGTAAAAATCGTACTTTTGTGTCATAATAAGCAGGAAGTCACATTTCATTGAAATGTGTAGAGACTACAAACATTAGCTCATTATTATTCAAGGAGGTGGGACCCACTCACCCTACAGGCCAATTACAGATCAGTGGGTGGGACTTCACTTGCAGAAACTGAAATCAATATATCTGCCATCTTGTTTGGAAGCTAAGCTAACAAGCGCAGTGGAGATGGGAAGTATGATAATGACAGAAGAAACTAAACATGATATGGAAGAAGAGGATTTTGAAAGTCTGCTGCTCGAATCTGATGTTCGTGGCTATCTTTACGAGTCACAGTATAGTGAAGAGCAATTCTCACTTCTCAGTGTTAATTTAACACTGGGGAATTTGCTGTGTGCCTGTCGTGGTCGAGGAGCCCGGACAGGCTCGAGTTGAGGCGGACTGCTGTGCATGTGCTCTCGCTTTGAGCTACGGACACAGATAGAGTCCGTCTGCTGCAGAGAATTTCAACTTAAAAAGAATTTCAGAATAAAATCAGGCATGTTTCTCTCTCAATCTGCCGTCATCGTTCCCCATTTTATGGTTTTGCTCCTCCGTGAGAGTCGCGAGACCGGCGCGCCATACAGGTGTCTTTCATTATCACTCACAGCACCGTCCTCTTACGTCCCTCGCCCTCGATCGTCCTGCTCGCCACAGCCAACTAACTAGAAATTTTGTGTGAAGTGAATTTCAAACTCGGGTGACAGCTAACGTTAGCCTTGTAGATGGAAGAGTGATTTCTCTGATGTGTGCGCAGTTCTGGATTAGTGGGTGTGGCTTGCGGAGCTGTGCAATGTGGTGCATCGTGGGAGTTGGTGTCTTAATGCGCCCCTCGGTTATTTTCTGTCTTTTCTCGGTCAAGAGGGCACCAAATTAAAAAAATCTTTTACATTTTGACTACATATATGATCCACTTTCAATAAAGATTAATGTTGAAATGGGTGAAATGCTCCTTTAAGTGTCTTATGAAATTTTTGTTAGTAATTTCTCCGAGCAGGTCATAAAGTGAGAGTAAATACTCACCATGTATTGTCACTGTTACTGGTTCACTGTAATCTGTGTAACGTCCTCCTCTTCGTGCTCTGCATCTGTACTGTCCTCCATCAGAGATTTGCACACGATCGATTGCTTTAATTGCAGCATCAGTAATTTCAGTGTTTGAGTCTTTACTCCAGAGAAACTCCCATCCACCCAGTGTCTGATCCAGTGAACATGTCAGAAAAACTTTGTCTCCAGTGATCACTGAACTCTGTGGCTCAACAGTCAGAGTCGGTTTGGGAAAATCTGTCAATATAAAGTTAGTGGGAACATGAGATGTGAAGTTTTTCAGCAGATCTCATTCTCTCACTGCACAGCAAAATCCCCAGTGTTAACTTAAGTCAAGTCTCGTTCTCTCACTGGTAAATCATTAGTGTATTTTGATTTCACAGACAATATAATATAGTAACGGCAACAACAGGAGCAAACAAGGTTAACATTCATTCAGTGCAATGCAAAGAGTTAAAGGACAACAAAGATGCAAAGACCAGCCTATGTTCAAACACACCCTGAGCTCAACACAGGAACCAACATCCAGTCAGAGAGACAAATCCGTATCAGCAAAGTGTTGCAAATTGTTGTTGTAGTTCAAATGACTTTGTTTTTATTCAATATGTTCAATTCTAAAGGTGTCTGTAGAGTTGCTAATTTTCAAGACAAAGCAAATGTCAAAAGATACTGTTTCTATATTATTCATAACAAATGTTGGGCGTGTAATATTAATATTAGTAGTATTACAGAAATTGTCATTTTTGTGACTGAATGTTTTGGGTTTTTAATTTTATTTTTGTCACACCTCAGAACTGTCTGTGTGGTGTTACTAGTCACAAGACATGAATCATTTATATAACTTGTTTAAAAAGCTGTGTTTATAATCATGACAGATGACACTGATAGGACTGGATTCATGAAAATCTTCTTACGAAAGGAGTTAAGGCAGATCTAATGATGAATTAGTTCATATAATGTTCCTTTGTGGATTTAAGATGGGTTGGAAGTTATCCTAAATTAGGTATTTATGATGATTTTTAAGATAATTCTTTTCAGGAATATGAATGTTTCTGAAATGTTTCAAGAACAATATCTCAAGAATAAACAATAAAAACAGTATTTGGGAATACAAAATATTATTATCTTTTTTTTTTAAGTTAGAAAATAAGAAAATGGCATTTAAGAAGAATTTAATTCTTACGAATGATTCATGAATCCCGCCCCTGTTTTGTAACAGAATTACACATTTGTACGGTGGCCGAGAGAGCTCAACGCGCTGCAGCTGAAGCGAACACATGCAAATAAAAATAATAATAAAAAAAACACACTTGTGCTCCAAATACAGAAAACATGCTGCAAAAGTTCACAACACAACCAAATACAGAAACGCGATGCAGAAAATCACAACACAAACAAATACAGAAACATGCTGAAAATAACAATATTTCCAGGGGGAACCAGACAAGTGACGAACTGGGCTGGGGCGGGCTCATTGCTCGTGAGCTTCCCTACGCCCTACTCCCTTCGAAGGGCGTACGGCAGAGCCCTTAAAGGGGAGGTTGACTGCGATTTCACTTTTTTCATTGTAAATAGTGTGTAATGTTGCTGTTGGTGCATGAACAGTATCTGCAAAGTTGCAGCGCTGAAAGTTCAATGTAAGCAGAGATATCGACTTTTAAAAATCAGGAAGTTTAATTGCCTACAAAAACGACTCGATTGGGACTACAGCTGGGTTTTAGACGCCACTAACCCACACATTTACATCAACCCCTCCCTCAGAATAAGCAGAAAATGGCATGCGCATATTTCAGCAGCTCCAGCTCGTCGAGTGTTGTGTTCACGCAGCTGTCAGGTCTTCTGTATTCCAACTTCTCACAGACGCTGTACTTCCTCAACAATGGATACAATTTATGTTTCTGAAAATGACGATCGTAATCTAGCTCTCTGTGCTGCGCATTTTACGGAAGACAGCTTCCAGAATCTCCACGAATTCAACACCGGATTTAAAAAGAAAAACGTGAAGCAGTTTCAACTTTAAAACCAGAGGCAGCAGTTGTTGGGCCACAACCTGTAAGTATGCTAAGACTTCATCATTTTAAATGTATTTTCATGAATATTTCCAGACGTAGCCTTGGGTTTTATTTTTTTCAAATGCCAGCACTGGCTTTATAGCCACTACAGGCTACTAGTAATGCTATTGTGTCTACGACAAACGCGTACAAACATTATGGACCTGAATTTTCTATAAGTACTAATGTTTTAAACGTATTTTTCATGTATAAATGCTTTATGACGTTATTTTCGATTTGATCAAGAACATAAACTAATGCCAACGCTGTTTGTGTTTAACATTAGTAGCCAGTCAGTTGTTATTGTTGCCAATCAGATGCTATTGTGTAAAACAAACGTGTATAAAGTTAAAAAATGTAGCACATTATAATTCAGAAACGTTTATTAAGAGCCGTGTGTGGTGAGGTTCTGCTTGACTCTCTTCATCGCGGCTTTCTGGGTCTGATTGTGCCTGAAACTGATACTGCAGTTCGACACATATTTACATCTAAACCGGAGCTCACGTTTCACCCGTAAAGGTAATGGGCGTTAACCTTCCAGACAACGTGAGCGACAGTTTAGCCAATCACAAGACACCGGCCCAAACTAACCAATCTGAGCCCACTGCGTGTTTCTGAGGGAGTGTTTTCATAGAATCAGGAAGTGAACCGCTCGTTCAGGAGACAGAGGAGAGCGTGGCTGACAATAAAGGTGAAGTTTATGAAAAATAAGACTTTTAAAAAAAGAAAAACCACGAATACATGTTAAATTGCACCCCATAAACACAATCATGCAAAGAAAAAAAGCAGTCAACCCCCCAACCCCCCCCCCCCCCCCTTTAAAGTGGGCTTTTGGAGTGAGTGAGGTCCACACTAGTGCCCTGCTCCCGTCGTCTATCCACCTGAGCCCATCACCTGCCCGCAAGCGCACACATCCTGATCCGCCTTGGAGGCTTCCTGCCCGTTAGGACTCGGCCTAGTCAGCCTTCAGGATGCCCACCCTCCCACCCTTTTGGATGTTATATGGTGCGAGGACATGCCTTTGGGGAGGGGGAGGGTACTGTCACGTTTCTGTGTTTGAGTTCTGTTTTGTGATCTTGTTTACCCGTCTTTTGTGATTTTGGTATAGTCCTGTTTGTGTTTCCCGCTCTGTTTAAGTGGCAAGTCCCTTCACCTGTGTTCTGTTAATCATCCCAATATTTTGTTCATTTAAGCCCTGTGTTTTCCCTCAGTGTTTGTGGATTGCCGTCGATGAATGGTTGTGTTTATGAGTTCCTGCATTTTCTTGTAACCTGAGTTTGTGAATAAACCAACAACATTGACATTCTGTTCCCTCGTCTTCAGCAACCAGCACAACTGTGACAGTATAATTTTAACGTCCCGGGTTCGTCACTTTTTCTGGTTCCCTTAGAAATATTTCCATTGTGGTCTGTGTTATTTGCAGTGTGTTTCTGTATTTGTTAGAGTATTTGGAGCTCAAGTGTGTTGTGAAACTGATGAAGATGTTTTCTTGATCTGTGGTTGTTTTTATTTGCATGTGTTTTCTTCATGTTGCAGCGCGTTGAGCTCTCTCGGCCACCGAATATTTGTGATTTAATGTATAAATCAAATTCACTCACCTTCAGTGTGTCCAGAGTGGATGATTGAAATCAGCACTAAAATGCAAAGTAAAAAAAAACTCATGAAAGATTAGGTATTTTTAAATGTTTTAACAGATGATCATTAAACTCATCTGTTGGTTATCCTGAAGTTTCTGTGGGAGTTCTTCCCATGAGTCAAACGGCTGTGTTTCTCTTAGTGGTCCCTGTGATGTCTTTTATAAGGTATAAGGGTCTGTCCCACAGACAGAAATTTGGGTTCAGATTCTCTGAAGACATGCTAACATCATCGCTAAAGAATGTGCTACACTACCTTCAGTAAATTATTCTCCCCACAAGAACTCTGGTCAAGCTTATTATTCAACATGACATCATGACTTTTGCGTAAACATATACGCCACTTTCGAGTCAGGTGGCGTGTTATCTCCACGCATTTTGAGCTATCCGCGTGTATGCGTATATGTCTACGCCATTAACGTCCGCGTCATTCCGCGTGTCTGAACACGCAGTCAAATCTCCAGTCATAAATGCCATTAACTCCAGTGACGGTTAAGTTTAGGGATGGGGTTGAGGTAAGTCATATCTTTTTTTTACCTAGGATGGTAAGGGAACAGTCATAAATGCCATTAACTCCAGTGACGGTTAGGTTTAGGGACGGGGTTGAGGTTGAGGTAAGTCATATATTTATATAACGTTAAGTCAACGGCGTTCATAAACACGCTGAAAGGCGATTATGCGTCTTGATAGCACGCCAAAAATGGAAATACGAATTGGCGTGTCATACACACGCTACTTCATGAGATCAGTCTGTATTATTATATGCATTAGAAAAATCAAATACATTGGTAAGCCATCAAAGTGACAGCTCAGACAAACAAATGAAAATCAGACAGTTTTTGAGCGTATCAACCTTGTGTTATACGTCGTTAACCCTTTAAACACATGCCTCAGGTCTTTGGTGACACAAGACTTCACTCACTACTTTCCTCCTAAAGTTAGTGAAAGCCTTGTAACTTAGCCTTGCTACAACCCCTTACGGGCAAGCTCAAGAGTTTGTGTTCCTACGGACACCTTTGAGGGAATATTGTCAGGAGCTTCTCAAGAACAGAGGCCTGAACAGGATGACTCTTGAAGAGAGGAGGCCTAGCTACGTTCTCCATTTACACCAGCATCCAAGGAGGATCACGGAGCGCCTAACAACACGGACCTGCTGTCTCTGTTAGCGGATGTTATTTAGCCCGTGGAGCTCCAGAACGCTGAGCACACTTCAGGGATAACACGTCATCATCAGCATCTCGCTCTCACCAGTCGCCGACAGATGAGAGATACTCGACGAGAGCGAAGTTTCTTCAATGGAAAGTGCTCACAATACACACATACATGATGTGTGTATGTGTGTGGGGGTGAGGAGGGTGCACCTCAATAACTGAACATGCATGATCCTCACCCAGGCACATAACGGACATATAGTGTGTGTCATTAGATGTCAGGAAATGCTGACACGGATGAACACACTTCTGTAAAAACCTTCGTCTGAAAACTCAGAGAAATTCTACTGAAATCTACTGAAGACTAACTAGTGCACATCTACTTAATGCATCATGGACAGCAAACAGAACAACAGAAATGTGTACAAACCAACAAATGAGTACAAAACAAACCAACAGAAATGGTTCAGCAAACACTATTACAAAGCAAAACACTGAGTGACTGAACAAACAGAGTAACCCAAACACAACACAGTGCATTTCTCTTTCACAAACAGCACTATCTGCTCACTTCCTCTCTCAAGCTCGTCTTTCACTCAGAGATCATGGACTAGAGCTGGATTTGAAACTGAGATCAGCATGAAAAGAAAAAAATCCAAGAACCTTAAATCACTTGAAACTGTTCAAACCCATTCATAATATAACAGCATTGACCATCTTCTGAAACACACCGAGGAAATAATACTCACAGAGCACAAGAGGAAGTTGACTGAGCTCCATACTGACCAATAATGACAGACGGTTAAAGACACAGACTGGGTTAAAGCCTCGAGACTTCCTGATACACAGTCAGATCTACAACATGACTGATTAAAGACACACAAATGCACCTCATGTGTTACAAAAAACCTTTTGATAAAGTTGATAATCTTAAACACATTTTCAAAAATATCCAACAAGTTTCCTATTGAAATGTTGTCAGGATTCATTCAGTGCCAAACTAAAGAGCATCAGTTTTCCAGTGTGAGAATGAATATTTTTGTGTGTTTAATGAAAAAGGAAAAAGAAACAATAAAGATCTTTATTGTAAAAATAGTATTAGCCTGTATAACTTTATAAGAAGCGGAAGTCACTTAAACTCCACAGAGCTGAAAAAGATCAAACCACAACTATGAGCTCATCTCTGTCTATTTCTGTTCAGGCCTCTGACAACAAGAGTGCCGACTTCAGCACTGATGTATTTGTACAAGTGAATACAGTTTAATATTCATACACCAGGACCAGGAATGCATAATTTATGCCTGTTGCTCTTAAAGAATGAATGATTAAAATAACAATTGTGTCAAAATGTTTTGAAAAAAGAAATGCAATTCTTATCTTACTGCCCTCAGCAGTCAGGGCCGTTCTTGCCAAAGGTCACAATGTTTACATGGAAACCTGACCCCTGAAATTTGTGAAGTGAACAACGACGGCAACACTAAAATACAACAACAACAAAAACAAAAACAATTACATCAATGGCACATGGAAAAGTGCAATACAAGATTACAATAGTCATGTTCAATTATTGTGTCTTTCTTGTTACAGAACCTGATTGGGATTCAATATTCAGTGGTTGCACTCTATGATTTTGATTTACTAAAAAGAATCGGATCATAAGAGTCATTCGTTTGGGAATCAAACTGTATGAATTAAAAGAGCAGGCTCATAAGACTCAATCGTCTGGGAATTGTCATGATCCCAGCCTGTGTTCCCCTGGTCTTGAGTGGCCTTTTTTATTTAGTCCTTTTTATTTTTCCCTGTTGATTAGTTTTTTGATTTGTTCCCAAGTGTACGTAGTTTTCCAATTGGCGTATGGCTAAGCCACGCCCCCTCCACTCGGAAAAACAGTCAACATTCAGGGACAGGCGCTATGGCAGCTGTCACGGTAAGAGACATTTCACAGGTGCCAAGTGACATAATGTACAACGCAGCTAGAAGCTGAAGTGAATGTTTTCTAATGTTAAACTAAAGTGAGTAATGAGATGTGGCTTGGGAAAGGGTAAAAATACACACCGTCGCCCAGCCTCTCGGGAACCTAGTGTTGGAGTATCATGTACCCCATGAACACCGTTTGACCATTTTAAACTTAAAATGACAAGAAAAAAACGAATGAAATTGCAGACTGACTAACTGCAATTCATTTCAATGGATATGGAAGCAGAGAGTGTCCGAGTGTATTGGGTTAGCTGCTCACTGTGATTGGCTCATCGCGTTTGAGGGTGTGGCTTAGCCATAGGTCAATTACTCATTGTGTATTTATACCCAGTGTTCCCTTTCAGTCGATAACGTCGGACGTAGTCGACGGTCGACTGAATGGGGATCGCATTAGAGAGCCTAGGTTCTTTGGGTACTATTGAACGAGCCAATGTAATTAGCGTGGGAGATTCGCATCACACACTCCACCCCCGCGTACGTGTATAAATGCGGAAGTTGATGCACCCACCAGCTGCCTTTCGTTTCAGAGCGTTAGTATTGATGTCTCTGAAGAGTGCTGTTGTAATCAACAAGCGAGTGTTTCGGCGTTCTTTTGGAAAGACTCTCCCCAGTGCTGGTGGTTTCTACAGTGCAGTGCAGCAGTGGTCACGAGCTCAGAGCTCTCAACTGCTGTTTTAACAGCAAGCAAATTTTGTGTTTGTTAGTTTGATGGCCAGTTGAGGGTGAAAAAGTGAGTGTTTCACTGTTTTTTTCAGTTCTCTGAATTGAGTTGTTCTGTCTGAGCAGACAACCCTTGTACAGACACCGGCTCTCAGCAGGACCCAGGGCTCCGCAGAAATGCATTCCCCAGTGACCCTACTAAAAAAGCGGCTGTGATTCATTATTACCTGGCGCCTGCTCAAGTTCAGTGATTTCATCACACTTAGGTGTTGAACATAAAATGCTCCTAAAGCTCAGTGATCTTTCACATGTACTGTTGAGCAGTGCTTCTGTCTGTTAGCGCCTGTCGCTTGCACCTAGTGTGCCAGGTTAGGAGGGAGCAGGTCTTGATAGTTGCCCCCTTTTTTGGCCCAACCGGACCTTGCCCCCTCGACAGCCTTCCTGACTTCCCCTGAACACATTTTAGGGACGGGGCACGATGGCACCTGTGTCCTGACCCCTGGTCACCCGGGCCGGTCCTATGCGCGGAGGTTCAGGTGGCTATCACAGGATCCCTAAGGAAGTGGTAGAGTGGAGTAGAGCTTAGTCGTTGAGGAGTCTTCTCTCCGTGAGGAGATCTTGAAAGCTTTCAATCATTTCAGTGCTCTCTTTCCTGCGAGCTAGGGGGAATAGGCTGGGTGGAGTAGTAACCCTGTGGAGTTACTCCGCACCTTTCCGACATCGGAAATGGCGGTACGTCCAGTGTTAGGCCAACCACTCGTAAGCAGTGTGGAACCTGTGCTAGGCTGGGGCCCATATGTTGCGATCCAAACGTTGATCCCATATGTGTATTTCCACAATACGGCTCCTTTCGGTGAGCCCGTGTCTTCCCTCGGCAGAGTCTGCTCTGCCGTCACTGTCCGGTGTGTCTCCCCCCTGTCATAGGCTGGAGCCACCCCAGTGACATTCCATATGTCATACTGCCCAGTCTTCTGCCCAGTTCATATGTGTATTCTCCACGTTACCTCCCTCCAGGTTGGATGTGGCTTCCGCAGCGTCCCTTCCTTCCAATGACCGGGGAACGCTTTCCCAGTGGTCCTGTAGTAACAGCAGTGACTTCCCTGGCCTAAGCCCTGTCCATCCCCGCCTTACAATAAGCGGGGGCATCAGGAGGCTTTTGTCTAGGCACTGGAAAGTGGCAGCCTTAGTGGCGTTTTCAAAAGTGATCCCCAT